AACCCAAGTTGAAACCCTCTCATTTCACTTGGAGCAAAGATAAAGTCCTTTCAGTTGCCCACAAGGCTCTGCATGATCTGATCCCCATTCCTGCTCTGTCCTCACCTCCTGCCCTTATACCCTTGCCCACTCTGCTCTGGTCACACTGGCCTCCGTGCTCTTTCTCAAACACACCAGGCCCACTCCTGCTTCAGGGCCTTTGCATCTGCTGTTCTTGCCACCATGAATATGTTTTCCCAGATACCGCCACTGTCTCTCTCCATTCATTCAGGCCTTTGCTTATCTTCTCAGATTGGCTTTCCCAGATCGTTTTATGGAAAATACCCACTGCCATCATGCTTTACTGCTTTACTATTTTTTTTTTAAAGATTTTATTTATTTATTTGACAGAGAGAGATCACAAGTAGGCAGAGAGAGAGAGAAAGGAGGAAGCAGGCTCCCTGCTGGGCAGAGAGTCTGATGCGGGGCTCGATGCCAGGACCCTGGGATCATGACCTGAGCCAAAGGCAGAGGCTTTAACCCACTGAGCCACCCAGGCGCCCCTGCTTTACTATTCTTTATTGGGAATTTTTTTTCATAGCATTCATCACTCTGAAATTTATATTATCCGTGGGTTGATTTTTATTAAAATTATCTATCTTTGCTAGTAGACTCCAGGAGAACTCCATGATGTCAGGGACTTTGTCTTCTAGCCCTATGGCGCAAAATAGTGTTTGCACACAGTAGGTCTCCCAATAGATGTCCATTGAACAATGAGTATGTGCTGGGATAGGGGAAGCTCAAGTTTTTGTGGGTGTAGAGAGGAGACTTTTTTTGTTTTTAAATTTCTGTTTATTTATTTGTCAGAGCACAAGCAGGAGTGTGGGCAGAGGGAGAAGCCGGCAAGGAGTCAGTTGTGGGACTCATCCCAGGACCTTGGGATCATGACCTGAGCCCAAGGCAGACACTTAACCTTAAACTGAGCCACCCAGGCATTCCCCAGAGGAGTCATTCTGCCTGGGAAGTTAGTGAAGGCTTCCCTGAAATGACAACATTTGAGTTGGGCTTTGAGGGTTATGTAGGAGTTTGCCATGTGCTGAACTTTACGTTGCAGGTACAGAGATGAAAGCAGCATGAAGTTTTCAGGGAAACAAATAGTCCAATAAGGTGTGGGAGCTGGTGCAGCTGCAGATAGGTGGGCAGGTGCCAGTTCTGGAGGAATTGGCATTGCCAAGCTGAGGGATCCAGGCTTTGTCCTGAGGGTGATGGGGAACTATAGAAATGAGAAGTGTCATCTGATTGTGATCAAGTGAGGCTTCCAGGAAGAGGCAGATTTGCATAGACTTGGGCCTTAGAGGATGGAGGGAAGATTTGTAATGCAAAAGAAGATGGGGAAGGTGTGAGGATTTCAGAATCTGGACAAAAAGTGATAAGAATGGGGACAGGTCGGGGCGCCTGGGTGGCTCAGTGGGTTGAGCTGCTGCCTTCGGCTCGGGTCGTGATCTCGGGGTCCTGGGATCGAGTCCCTCATTGGGCTCTCGGCCTGCTTCCCTCTCTCTCTCTCTCTGCCTGCCTCTCTGTCTACTTGTGATCTCTCTCTGTCAAATAAACAAATAAAATCTTTAAAAAAAAAAAAAAAAGAATGGGGACAGGTCGGGGGTCTTGCTGTGGGCTAAGTGGATTCCATCCATCCATCTACCCATCCATTAATTGAACATTTGGGACCACATATTCTGTGTAGGGCCAGGTTGAAGGAGTGTGGGGTTTGTCCTGGGTGCTCTGGGGAGCCACAGGGAGATTGTGAGCAGGGGAGGTCCACAGTCAGCTGTGGGGATCTGTGAGGGATGACCGGAAGAGTGGAGATTGGAGCCTGGGAGGCCAGGGTGGAGGCTGGGGAGAGAGTGGAGAGGATGGGGCTGTGGGGATGGAACAGGGGACAGGACTTGGGGACTAAGGTGCCTTGGGACAGAAGGGAATGGCTATAGTGCTTGGGAGTCAGGCCCAGTGTCTGGGTGGACAGTGTGAATCTGTTCGTGGGAGCTGGGGGCAATGAGCACCCAGGGTGCAGCCCATCTCCCACTCCTCACCCACGGCCCACCCTTCTCAGTACCAGAGGCACCTGTTCGTGCACATCAGCCAGCACTGCCCCAGCCCTGGAGCACCCCCCCTCGAGAGTGTGGACGTCCGGCAGATCTATGACAAATTCCCTGAGAAAAAGGGTGGCCTGCGGGAGTTGTATGATCGTGGGCCTCCTCACGCCTTCTTCCTGGTCAAGTTCTGGGTGAGTTCTGCTGCCGAAACAAAGTGCCTGCAAGTCACGTGGCCTCCCATGGACAGGGATGCTCAGAACGTAAGCCCCCTTTGGAACAGGGAACAACGAGCAGTTTTACCCCCAGGATGGGATGGATAGGACTTGGGCCTCCAGGCCCCTTTGCTAGGGAGTAGCCACTTGCCTTAGCAACCAGGGTCATGAAGGGGTGGGGAGGGGAGGGTTGCTAGGGAGTAACCTGCCTCCTTAATAACCACGGCCTTGGAAGGGGCTGAACTCCCGAGTTGGGGGCTTCAGGAGAAGAAAGTTGAATTCTAGGTCTCCTTTGTTGGGACTATTACTGGAGAGAGAGGGTCAGGACCGTTTCAGGGAGCCAGGCTTCTCCAGTACCAATTGAAGGGTGGGTGTTTTCCAGAAACAGGCCCATGGAGACAGGGGGCTTTGAATGCAGAGGAGGGGTAGGCAACTGCAAGGCTATGGGGGAAACCAGGCCATGGAGCAGAGTTCCCACTTGAGAAGAGTCCCCGCCATTTATAAGGAATCTGCCTGTGCCTCCCCACCCCCAGGCGGACCTGAACTGGGGCCCGAGTGGTGAGGAGGTAGGGACCAGCGGCAGCAGCGGAGGCTTCTATGGAGTGAGCAGCCAGTACGAGAGCCTGGAGCACATGACTCTCACCTGTTCCTCCAAGGTCTGCTCCTTTGGCAAGCAGGTGGTGGAGAAGGTGGAGGTGAGGCTGGAGGGGTGGAGCTCTGGGCAGGTGAGCGCCCAGACACCTGCCACTTTTGGGGTACAGACTGAAGGGATCAGAGCCACAACAGTTCCTGCACTTGGGTGTCTGTGTGGTGGGGTTTTCATTCATGCATGGGCTTAGAGCTGATATTGTGTCCCCAAGTCACATGTAGGTGTTATTTTCAGGGTTCAGAGATAATGTGTGGTACAGAGATTTATAGTCACTAAGGTTCAAAAGGTTCTTATGGGTATAGAGGAATCTGTAGGGCAAGGAGGTTTGGGGGTCGCACTGAGGGATCACTGAGGGCCTGAGGGGTCTTGATCTCAGAGGTCATGTAGAGTTTGGAGACCTAGTGGAGGGGAGGGTCTTTGGAGGGTGTGAGGGTATCTTAGGGCCTGGGGGTCAGAGCAGTCCAGAGGTCTCAGAAGGGTCAGAGCACAGTTTTGAGAGGCTGGAGGGGTCCCTCGTTTGCAGGCTCAGGGATCCCAAGTCGAGGACCCATGGGTCCAGGTCCCATCTCTGCTGCACCACAGATGGGGCGATGGCGGGGATGACGGTAGTGGGGAGTGGGCGTGGCATTGGAGAGGCACAGAGTGCCTGGGGCAAGCCCTGTGTCTCTGGGTCACTGCCCTGCCCACTCTGCGCCCCCCACCCTGGTTCAGACGGAGCGTGCCCAGCTGGAAGACGGGAGGTTTGTGTACCGCCTGCTCCGTTCACCCATGTGTGAGTACCTGGTGAATTTCTTGCACAAGCTGCGACAGCTGCCTGAGCGCTATATGATGAACAGCGTCCTGGAGAACTTCACCATCCTCCAGGTGAGGCACTGGGGCTGGGCTGAGCAGGGCAACCAATGGGGTGGGGAGTGCCTACAACGGCCCCTTGGCCCGGGGACCCTTGCACGGGGGTGGGGGCGTGACACAGGGGGAGCCTTTGCTTAGGGGACCCCTTTACCCAGGAAACTGATGTGGTGGGGAGTCCAGAGCACTCTCATTTAGGGGGATCCCCCCTCACTGGGGAAACGGACTTAGAGGGCATCCCACGGTGGATCCTTGGTTTAAGGGACAAGCCCCCCTTTCATAGGGAACCTAACCTTAGCCCAGGGGACATGATATGGTGGGATCCCCCTGAACTCTGGTTAACTTTGAAGATTTTGAGAGAGTTGAAGGGAGAAGGGAGAGAGAATCTGAAGTAGTGCCCAATGTGGGGCTCGATCTCACAACCATGAGATCATTACCAGAGCCGAAACCAGGAGTTGGACGCTTAGCTGAGTCGCCCAGGCACCCCTACTTTGGTTAACTTTGCTGTGCCATCCGATGGGAGGCCCCTCACTGCTGACGCTCAAATGGGGAACTGGACATGTCAGGCATCCCCTCGACCTAGGGAATGTGATATGGTGGGGACCTCTTTCCTAGGTATCCTGTGGTACCTCGGGGAGGGCACAGTGATCTCTGCTCTCCCGTTTGTGCACAAACCCTTTCTCTTGGCCTCCTTGGCAGGTGGTGACAAACAGAGACACCCAGGAGCTGCTGCTTTGCACCGCCTATGTCTTTGAGGTTTCCACCAGTGAGCGGGGGGCCCAGCACCACATTTACCGCCTGGTCAGAGACTGAAAGGGGACCCCAAAAGTGACTCACCCCCCAGATTACCCTCCTTCCAGGAAAGACCTCCAGCTTAACTTCATGCTCGTTTGGGGAGGGGGTGAGTTGAAAAGATGGATCCTGATATTGGGACCTCATGGTGGTGTCTGAAAAGGACAGATCGCTCCAGAGCATCAGGGACTGGGGACAGAAGTGAGACAGCCCCGAAGTATAGCACTGGTTTCTCAGTCTCTAACAGGCGCCCTCCCGCAGCTTGGTTCTGGATGTTTTTGGATGGTCTTAGAAAGTATGTTGGTTTGTCCCTCTGTTTTTTCAGCACCCCCCCTCCCCTTTCCCAATCTGCCTCTCTTTACCAAACCCAACCCTGTGACCGGGAGATCAAATATTGAAGGTTAACCCTTTGTGCAGGAGCAGAGCCAGGTGGGCCCAGAAAATATTTTTTTTTTAATATAACAAGAGATATTTATAAGTGGGTATTAGGGTCGTGACTTTTTCTGAGCTGGACAAGCTGTGGGGTGAGGCTTTTAAATTTCATCCTCTCTTCTCAACAAGATGTAGGCTATATACTGTGTTGCCTCCCCTCGCCAGCAAAGTGTGTTGGTTTGTGTTTTGACAGAGGATAAAACTATTTTACCAAAACGCAGGGGATTTATTTGGGGTTTGGGTGAAAATAATCCTGTGGGAGGTGGTAAGCCGAAAGATGAGGCAAGGAAATGAGGCATCTTTGGGGACAGGAAGCTGGTGGCCGGAAGGCCCAGGTCCCGCGGGAGAGGTGACAGCAGCTGGGCAGGCAGACATCTGAGTCCCCCAGGGAAATGAGGAGGTGGAGGACTCAGTGGTTGGGGCGAACTGGGGATTGAACAAATATTTACAGACCACAGGGAAGCCCCTAGGGCACTTGAAGGGGACGGGGCGGGGCTTTGGGAAGAGACTGGGGCCTAGCGGTACCGAGCGAGCCGGTCGTAGACTTGGTCCAGGTTTCTGCACAGGAATATCGAGAGCGTCATGAAGCTGAGCTATAGAGAAAGGAGACCTGGTCAGAGAGGTCCGCAGGGTCCGGCGAGGGGGACTGGGGTAGGGATGGTGGGTGTTCCGAGGGAGAAAAAGGGGGTAGTGCCAGGGGAAGAAAATTAAGTGTGGAGATTTGGGAGGGGCGGAGAAAGGTGAGGTTAGAGGGGGAGCTCAGCCAGGTTGAGAAAGGTGGGTCAGGGATGGGAATTTGGGGGCTTGGGGTAGACTACCAAAGATGCGGAGGGTGGGGAGGATGGAAAGAAACGGAACAGGGTGGGGTAGGGAGTATTCAGCTGCGTCTAGCGCAGGTTCAAAGTCTGGGAAGGAGTGAGATCCGGAGCTAGCCCAGGGTACTTTATTCTGGAGGCTCATCTGTCTCTCTCTCTGCCTTGGCCGCTAATTCCACCTCGACCTCCACCTCCTCGCCCGCGCTCCCGGTCTCAGGTTGTTCCTCATCTTGATCCCAAAGCGGCCAGGGCCCCAGGGCCACGGGCAGCTTGCCCTGTGGGGACTTGTCCCCCCAGTTGGGACAGGCATCCGCCATGCCCCAGCCACCCCACAGACCGCCGCTACGCCCGCTGCTGCTCAATACACCACAGCGCCCGCCGCCGCCATCAGCACAGGGACCTGGCCGGGGGCTCGAACCACAGGCGCCCAGCACCTGCCGCTGGCGTTCCCGGCAGAGCGCCCTGCGCAAGATTAGCAGGCTCAGCCCCGCCACACTCACCTGCAGGGAAAGGGGAGGGATATTGCTGCTACGAGCAGGGGGCAGGAACGCCAAGGAGGGCCAATGAGAGCTTCGCAAGGGCGGGAGGGAACGCCTACTTCCTGCGTGCAGCCAATCGGGGCTTGCAAGGGGTAGGTCTTCCGCGTACATGCGGAGAGGCAGGAGAACCTGGATGGGCTGACGCTCTAGCAGGCTTGCACCTTTCCCAGGGGTTTGGGGTAGGGCCATCTAGGGATTGTAGGGCCAATTGCGAGTGGGGGCTGGACCAAATTACCTCAAGGAGACCGACACCTAGACAAATGCCCACTATGGAGATGAGGTTGTTGTGCAACCACTTTTGGAGGCTCCGCGCGCAGCCCTGGGAATGCGGGATAAGGTTAAAAGTAGGGTCTTTCTGGGATTCGCCCTCAAGCCCATGCCCACTGTTCTCCTTAGCCTAGCCTTCACCCCTCTTTCAGGCACCGCCCCTCATCCCTAGTTAGTAGGGTTCTCTAGTCTCTCCAACTTGCTCGGTCCCACCCTCCTCTCAGTCACGCCTTTTCTTTTAGTCCCCGCCCCTCAACCCGGGTCCCTCCTAGGGCCCCCCACCCCTCCTGATGTGCCCCTTTCTCGCAGTCCCACCCTTCAGACCCTTCCCTAGTCCAGCGGCTCCGCCTCCTGGGAAAGCAAGCCCAGACCGCAGCCCTACCCCCTCACAGGGCCCTCTCCTTTCTAGCGGGCTCCAAGCCCTCCCCACCTCGCTGTAGACATTGCTGTCTGCAGGAACCACGCAAAGGTCAGTACTGTGCCGGGGCCGCGCCAAGGGTCCGGGCCGGCTGAACTGGGGGAAGGAGAGCTTATCGAAGACTGCAGAGTCATTGGTCGCCGATGAATTATAGCAGGAGCAGGGCACGCGATGCACCTCCGACTCGTTGCTGATGAGGCTGGGGATACTGAACCAGTCCCGAGGAGAGTTCCAGCCGCAGCAGCGCAGCTGCGAAGAGGGACGGGAGTCAAAGGGACGGGGACTGGAGGGATTCAAGATGATTTGGGGATTCAGGGGACTGGATGATGTGTATGAGGTATTGGGGAGCAGAGGGCTAGATGGGGGGCGGGGGGGGGGGTGGCGGGCTAGGCTTGGGTGCATTAGGGGAACAGGGGTTGGGAGAGACGAATCACGGGCCACCTGGGGCTGTGGGAGGAGCTGCAGAAGACTGGGTAGGCAGTGCAATTCAGCCTAGGTAGGGGACAGGTGGATGGGAGGGCAGGGCCACGTGAATAACCAGGGAATGGAGTCTCACGTGGGCCGGGTCCCCTGGGGCCAGAGTCACTAAAGATCAGGGAGTTGGGTCACTCTAGGGCCTTGGGACTGAGGGCGAAGTCTTGTCGGGGCAGAAAACGGAGCCTCTCCAGGGTCTGGGAGCTGGAGGGAAATGACCACACGAGTCTGTTCGGCTCTCTTCTGGGGGCGGGGTGATATTGGGGGTGGGGTAGGGTTACCTTCAGGTAACCCCCCACCCCCGCTTCGTTGGGGCAGGGGGCAGAGCTACGTCAGAATCCCAGAGCTAGATGGAGGGATACGCATCTGGGGACCTCACGCACCTGGAACTGCACGTAGTCCCAACTCTCCTCCGCAGCCGACTCCTCCGGACGCGAGCGGTAGTTCTGGATGGTCTCCAGCACGATTTCCTTCACCCTCCGCTCCAGCTAAGAGGCGGAGAGTGAGACTGGATTGTGAGGCTGGATTTCCACCCGGGTTTGCCCCTACCCAGTCCAGCTACTCCCGGGCTTTCTCAGTCCCCAGGGGTCCCCGAGCGGTTTGAAGGCGCTCTCGATTTCTCACTGAATGGCTAGCTAGGTCTCTGTTCCTCAAAATCTGCCTGTTGCTACCGTCTTTCTGTTCCCCCGCTATCTCCCACGGTAGATCTCTCTCTGTCTCTCTGGGAGTCACCTGTTTCTCCCCCAATTTTTTTCTTTTCTGTTTGTTTCCCTTTGGATCTCTTTCTGTCTTGCTATGTCTGTTTTCCTCCATCCGCGTCGTGATCTTGCTTTGAGTCTCCTTGTCTCTATCTTCCTGTGCGTCTTCTCTGTGTCCCTGTCTCTCTGTTTTCCTCTGCCCGTCACTGTTATTCCCTTTGTCCTTGTCAGCCCGTGACTGCTTTTGTTTCTGTCTTTTTCCACCACCCCCATACATTTGGGGGGAGTGTGGGAGGGGAAGCCAAGCTCACCCGCATCCGCTGAGTGGAGATGAGGATTCCCAGGGTGATCTGCGTGGCAAACAGGAGCAGAAGTATCCCAAAATACTGGTGGGCAGAGTGGAGAGGTCAGACTGAGCCCCCCCCCCCCCCCCCCGGATACAGAGGCTGCAAGGGCTCTGTTTGAGGGGGGATGTGGACAGGGGACTCACCAGGCCCAGGAGGCAGCGGAGCTCCTTCAGGGACCCCACACAGCCCAGGAGGGCAAGGCCCATGGTGAGAATTCCTGAGATGGCCAGGGCCTTGGACCAGATCTGCAGGGGCACGAAGGACAAGCCTGGGGGAGGTGAGAGGCGGTGACATTGGGCTCAGGCACACAGCTCCAGGAAGCCCCATTCCCCACCCACACAGCCACTCAACTGGGGAGCAGTATTCTGGGGAACTCTCTGGGTGTCTGTCCCTGCCACATGTTGAGTCTCTATTCCTCTCCTCCTGGGATTCTTTGTCTCCTTCTCTCTGGGACTCTGTCCCTTCTGAGTCTCTGTCTCCCCCTCCCCCCCACCCCAGGTCTTTGTTTCTGCTCTGGATCTCTGTCCCCCTTTCTCTCTGGAGGCCGTTTCTTCCTCTTGCTCTCAGTCTCTTTTTCCTCCTCCTGCTCCTCCTCACCCCCAACAGTTTCAGTCCCATCACTTGATCTGTGACATTGGATCAGTCACTAAAACCTCCCTGAGGGCCGGGGGAAGATATCTATTCCCTAGGGTTATTTTAAGGGACACATGGGAGGCACGCGTTCAATGCTGTCCTCAATACAGGGCAAACACTTATTAAATCTGAACCATTAGGATCGCGACTATTACTCTATTACAACTCTCCTATTATTATTAGTGTTCTCTCTGCTCTTCTACTTCTTTGCTGTGTAACATCCAGTAAGTGACATCCCCTCTCTGAACTTCAAGAGAGGGGAAGGTCTGTGGGAGGGTCTGATAAGCATCTGCTTGAGCTCTACCGCCTAGGAAGTGCCTGAGAAATGGCTATTACCATTTTTATTATCATTCATATGGACAACTCATTTGCCAGAGGAAGACTGAAGGGGCTAAGAGCAGTGGCAGGCTGTGAAGCAGAACCTGGGACAAGGGAGACCCCCGGGACATCACCTGGGGGCAGGCCAGGTCATGCTTGCTCCAGGAGGCCCTCCCCGACGGCCCTGGCCCCCTCACCTACAAAGGACACGAAGCTGGTCTTGTCAATGAGTATCCAGATGCCGAAGCAGAAAATAAGGCTGCCTAGGACCTGGCAAGGGGAGATGGGAATATGGCGGTGGGCAAAGGCGACGGGGACTGGGGGAGGTATATCAGGTCGGGGGGCTGGGGCAGGGGCTGGGGCTGGGGCCTGGGTTGGGTAGCCATGTGGCAACTCACGAAGAAGAAGAGGTTGAAAACGAAGAGGAGGTACTTGATGAGGCTGAGGCAGCTGTCCTGGGCCGACATCTTCACCTAAGAGGGGTCAGCAGCCCGTGGGAGGGACAGAAGAGAAGAGGTGTTGGGCCCGGAGGAGACGAGCAGAAAGACAGAGGCTGTGAGAGACAGAGAGGGAGAAAGGAAGAACACAGAGAAAGAGGAAGTCTCCCCGAGGTGCACCCCCCCTCCACCGCCAGCGGTGGAGCCCCACCCCCTCCCTCTACAGGCGAGGTGGCTTTCTGGTCTGTTTCTGTGCCCCCCATGCCTCCCTCACCTGCCCCACTGGGACACACACCCGTACTGGAGGGGCCTTGGAGTTTGTGGGCACCAAGGACACGCTGGGTACTCCCTCCCAGGTCTCCGTGGTTCAGGCTGGGGGACCCCTGAGCTCCTTGGATCCACCTACTCTGGGCACCAGGACCCCAGGCCAGCCCTGGACAGCAACCGACCTCACAGACACTCTGACCTCACTGCCTGCTAAGCTCTGCCATCTCTGCATCTCTCTCTGCCCCCGCCCCATTCCCAGCCCTCGGCCTCTCATCCTCCCTTTTCTGGGTCTCAGTTCCCTTCTGTCTGGGTCTCTGTCCCTCCCTGCCCGCCTCTCCCCCCCACCCCCCCCCCCCGCATCTATCTCCTCCCTCTCCGGGTTTCTGGCCCCTTCTCTCTGCAGGCCAGTCCTTTCTCTGCTTATGCGCCCCCACCTTGTCACGGGCCCCCTCTCAGAGTCTGCATCCTGTTCTCAGCAACAAGTGTAGAGCGCGGAGCCCCCGCATGCTAGGGCAGGGCTTGGGCACCTGGGGGAAGTGAAAGTGCTGCAGTGCCCCCGGTGGGACGGTCCCTGGGAGTGGGGGGGGGGTGGTGGCTGGCCAGTGCCTAAACACTCAGAGAGGAAGCTGAGCCTCTAGCAGTACTTCCTGCATCTGCACTGGGGCCCCAAGAGGGGGATGCTGGGGAGGAGTCAGGATTGAACCCCGGACCTTGACAGTTAGATCTAGGTCCGAGCCTGCTTGCTTGTCTCGGGACCTGAGCCGCACACCCCGCAGCCTCTAAAAGTGCCCCCTGTTGCCCCATGGCCCCTACTCTTGTCAAGCCAGATTTCCACGTTTGGGGATGTTCCTATCATCCTGACATCCACCCAGGCCTTGGAAAACCAGCGCCTCTTAGAGACTCAGCACCATCTCTTGCTGAGAGATCTCATCTACGTTTTTTTTTTAAAGATTTTATTTTAAAAATATTTATTTATTTATTTATTTGACAGAGATCACAAGTAGGCAGAGAGGCAGGCAGAGAGAGAGAGAGGGGGAAGCAGGCTCCCTGCTCCATCCCAGGACCTCCACTTTTTTTTTTAAGGCTTCAAATGCAGGGGTGCCTGGGTGACTCAGTTGTTAAATGTCTGCCTTTGGCTTGCTTGGTCATGATCTGGGGGTTCCGGGATCAAGTCCCGATTGGGCTCCCTGCTCAGTGGGAAGCCTGCTTTTCCCTCTCCCACTTTTCTTGCCTGGGTTCCCTCTCTGGCTGTCTCTCTCTCTGTCAAATAAATAAAATCTTAAAAGCTCCAGGGGTGCCTGGGTTGCTCAGTGGTTAAGCCTCTGCCTTCAGCTCAGGTCATGATCTCAGGGTCCTGGGATCGAGCCCCGCATAGGGCTCTCTGCTCAGTGGGGAGCCTGCTTCCTCCACTCTCTCTCTGCCTGCCTCTCTGCCTACTTGAGATCTCTGTCTGTCAAATAAATAAATAAAATATTTAAAAAAAAAAGA